ACAACTTTGTAAGGAGAGGGATTCAAACCCTCGCTTCCAGGGGAGACTGCGCCTTTAACGCAACGCCTTAGACCGCTCGGCCATCGCCTCCAGGGGAGACTGCGACCTTAACGCAACGCCTTAGACCCCTCGGACATCCTGACTTTGCTCAGCTGCTTTCATGGTGCCTTTGCATACACAAACAAGAGCAAGACTGATTGACAGAGCTTCGTTGTCCCTGCGAGTACTAGGAGGATTTCATGTCTTACCTGTGTAAGTACAAACACCAGAACCACCATTCAGTTAATACTTCACCTCCTCATTTGCCTTAACTTCTGATGCCAGAGATACTGGAAAGAACAGAAACACTTAGAAGAGCCAGTGACTTTCTTGTCCTCCCTTTAGAGTTGCCTTTCCAAACATATTTTAGCTGGATAATGATGTGTTAAAGCATAGTATGTCTGTAATACAACATTTCACTTCCAGAAGCCACTTAAACATTGACAACTTTGTCAGGAGAGGAATTCGAACCCTCGCTTCCAGGGGAGACTGCGCCCATAACGCAACGCCTCAGACCGCTCAGCCATCGCCTCCAGGGGAGACTGCGACCTTAACGCAACGCCTTAGACCGCTCGGCCATCCTGACGTGTTTCTTCTGCTGTCATAGTGCCTTTGCATACAGTATGCACAAACAAGAGCAAGACTGATGGACAGAGCTTTGATGTCCAATCAAGTACTGGGAGGATTTCATGTCTTACCTGTGTAAGTACAAACACCAGAACCACTGCAATCACCATTCAGTTAATACTTCTCCTCCTCATTTGCCTTAACTTCTGATGCCAGAGATACTGGAAAGCACAGAAACACTTAGAAGAGCCAGTGACTTTCTTGTTCTCCCTTTAGTGACGCCTATCCAAACGTATTTTAGCTGGATAATGATGTGTTAAAGCATAGTATGTCTGTAATACAACATTTCACTTCCAGAAGCCACTTAAACATTGACAACTTTGTCAGGAGAGGAATT